ATTCTCGAGTAGAAACCATGCTCTAAGTGGCTCCGGAAATATTGGTGTCTTCTCCTCGAAACCTGTGTCGATCTGCTAGATCGCCTTCTGCATTCTGTCCTCTTCGACCTCGAACTGCGTCAGGTAATCTTTCATCAGTGTACTCGGCTTCTGGTGCACCTCATTCATACGTGATCTCATATACTTGCCAGCGTCCTCCACCTCCAGGATGCCACTCTTCCTCTTGAGGTATATGAGCAGCTGGCTGACTCCCTCGGGCAACTTCGTCGTCGCGTCCTCCTCGACATCATCGAGGGAGTCCATCTTGTCGTACTTCTGTACACCCTGCCATGCGCGGCCATGGAGCTTCGACATCGGCCTCGGGCCGCAGAGACCCTTCTTGGTGCCGCGCACGTAGAGCTGGACCCACATCACATACGAGTCGAAACTGGCAACGTCGGCGTCCCAGGATGGGACTGTCGTCTCCGACTTCTCATTCTCCGTCGTCGTGATGCGCCAGTTCGTGGAGCCAGACCAGCTCCGCTACCAACTAGATTGTCGGCGTTGGCGAGCGGCCTCGATATTTCGATAGCGTTCTCGTCGTGTGTAGCACTATTGATCATCTCGATGATCTCTCCTTTTCCTCCACAGCTCGCCGGCGTCGATGATCTGAAAAGATATTTTGATGTAGCCCCCGGTGGGCTGTGAAATACAGAGGTGTGCTCAAGCACGCCGTTGCCATGATCGGCACGTCTGGTAGCACTTGCCGGACTCAAGGGCGCCCTCTAGCCAAAACGCCAGCGGAGGGGAGTTAGGCATCGAGAGGGCACAGGTCGGATGGGCTAGGAAATTGCATATAACTACAACCCGCCCCTCCTTCACACTGCCCGCGCCTCAGTCGGACAACAATGACGGGCTCTGTGACAAGCCAAAGCACCAGGTGACCTGGTACCCTACCTGGAACCACCGAGCCAATGCAAGGGAGGACTGGAGAGCGGTGGAAAGCCATCTGCGACCAGGAGTCTGGACCCCACTCCGCCAAAGACCCCCAGCGTCACAACTCTGAATTCTACCAAGGTTTCGTACATTACCTCAGCGAGGTCAATTATGACGTGCGCAGACTTTGCTGGAAGAAAGGCGTACAAGTCGATTGGCAGAGTGGCATCGCGAATTTGACAAGCGGAGGCAAAGCTCTGAGCTCGGAAAAGGCAAAGGGAAGGGTGCCCCGCCGCACGAGAAAGGGAAGCGGCCGGCGGATCCTCTGCGCCTAGCAACGACCCTTCCCGCCAACGCGGGTCAGCTTCCAGCAGCCACCGCTGGTAGCGTTCAGCCAGCCGCCCTATCACCTCGTCCTGTACTGAGCGTGACATCCCCGCCCTGGGTCTGGCCTCCCTGGCCGCTGCCCCCCCCTCCTTGCCTTCGTGGCTTTCCCACATCGTGCGCCTATTCGGTGCCCCCCCCCCCCCCCGCAAGACCCCAGCCCTCGCTCGGGGCCTGCCCGCCGCCCGCAGTGGCCGTTTTTTATCGTGCACCTGTTCGGTGCCCCCCCCGCAAGCTCCCAGCTCTCGCTAGAGGCTTGCCTTCTTCTCGCGCCCGTGCGCGGGGCCCGCCAGCGCCCGTGCTGGCGCTTGGCCGGTTCCCACCATTGCCGCCTTTCCGGGTTGGCCCTGTCACAGCAGGCTGGTCTTGCCGCTCGCTCGCGATCTCCGGGCCGCCCCTCCCGCCCGCCCGGGGGCGCCCTGCCTCGCCGCTGGCCCCTGCCTCTTGGGGCGCCGGCCTTCTGCAGGCTGTGTCCAGGCCCTGCCTGCGGCACCCCTCTGGCCCGCGCCGTGCTTCGCCGGCCGGGCGATGCTCGCTTCGGTGCCTGTGCCCCCCTGTGCCCCCCCCCCCCCCCTCTGCTTGGTTTTCGGGCCACCTCCCCAGCGCTGGCTGCCTGTGTCTGGCCGCTGTCATATGGCACCTCGCCGATGTCGGTTAACTACTGCTCAGTTGGCTCTCTGCCTCTGGGTCCGCCCGTTCGCCCACTTGGCTCGCCGCCCCCCGGTGGGCGCGGCCTTCCTGCCCGCCGCTGGCTGGCGTTCGGCGCCGTCGCCCCCCCGCTTCGTTCTGTCTGCCCTGGGCCTGCCGCTCCCCCACTTGGCGGTGCCCCGCTCCTTTTTTGCCCTGGGTGCCGCGCCGCGCCCCGCTGGGCCGCCCCTCCGCGATTTCCTAGCCTGGTCTCGGCGACCCCCACCGTTGCCAACGTCGGGGTGCCATCCCGTCGGCGCGGGTCGAGGTTCTGGGCGCTCGTCCTTCCCTCCCTTCCGCCGCCTCTCTTGGGCCGCTTTCGTTCTGCTCTGTACCACTATTGGCGATGCCACTGCCTGCCTTCCGCCCCTCCCGCCCGCCGCTCGCAGGCCCGCAGGTCTCGGCGCTTTGACTCATCCTTGGACCGCGCCTGGGTCCACTGGGTTGGGCACCGCCCCCCTTGGCTTCCATTCCTCTGCTACTGTCCTGTGCCGCTCGGCGCCAGCCTCAGCTATGTCCAGCTCAGTGCCGACCAGCACCAGCCCTTATGCCCGCGGCGCGGTGCCTGCAGCTGGGGCTGATCTGTCCTGGCAATCGCCTTCCGTCTCCTCGCACGCGCCTCGCAGGCCCGCAGGTCTCGGCGCATGGGCTCATCCCTGGACTGTGCTCGGCCTACCGGGTTGGGCTATGCGTCGTTTTCTCTTCACCGCCAGCTGCAGCTCCTGGCTGCAGCCCCCTCCCCAGTTTCAGCTCAGTGCAGTTCAGGGGAGCTTGTGCTGGCGCTGCTGCCGTCGCCCTCTGCCCAGCCGCCGACGCAACAATTATCCCGGCAAAGCAACCTAACAGCGATGTGTAGGAGCATATCTGGAAGCATTCCCGTTAAGATTCAGATGAGAATCCTGTTGTAGAATTCTGCTGTTCTCGCAGTCGTAGTCGCATTCGCGATGGCAGTCGCAGTGGCAACGGTAGTCGCAGTCACAGCCTCAGCCTCAGCCTGCCTCAGCCTCAGCCTCAGCCTGCCTCAGCCTCAGCCTGCCTCAGCCTCAGCCTCAGCCTGCTTCAGCCTCAGCCTCAGTCTGCCTTCAGCCTCGGCCTCAGCCTGCCTCAGCCTCAGCCTGCATCAGCCTCAGCCTCAGCCTCAGCCTGCCTCAGCCTCAGCCTCAGCCTCAGCCTGCCTCAGCCTCAGCCTCAGCCTGCTTCAGCCTCAGCCTCAGTCTGCCTTCAGCCTCGGCCTCAGCCTCAGCCTGCCTCAGCCTCAGCCTGCATCAGCCTCAGCCTCAGCCTCAGCCTGCCTCAGCATCAGCCTGCCTCAGCCTCAGCCTCAGCCTGCCTCAGCCTCAGCCTCAGCCTGCTTCAGCCTCAGCCTCAGTCTGCCTTCAGCCTCGCCTCAGCCTCAGCCTGCCTCAGCCTCAGCCTGCATCAGCCTCAGCCTCAGCCTCAGCCTGCCTCAGCATCAGCCTGCCTCAGCCTCAGCCTCAGCCTGCCTCAGCCTCAGCCTCAGCCTGCTTCAGCCTCAGCCTCAGTCTGCCTTCAGCCTCGGCCTCAGCCTCAGCCTGCCTCAGCCTCAGCCTGCATCAGCCTCAGCCTCAGCCTCAGCCTGCCTCAGCATCAGCCTGCCTCAGCCTCAGCCTCAGCCTGCCTCAGCCTCAGCCTCAGCCTGCTTCAGCCTCAGCCTCAGTCTGCCTTCAGCCTCGGCCTCAGCCTCAGCCTGCCTCAGCCTCAGCCTGCATCAGCCTCAGCCTCAGCCTCAGCCTGCCTCCATCAGCCTGCCTCAGCCTCAGCCTCAGCCTCAGCCTCAGCCTCAGCCTCAGCCTCAGCCTCAGCCTCAGCCTCAGCCTCAGCCTCAGCCTCAGCCTCAGCCTCAGCCTCAGCCTCAGCCTCAGCCTCAGCAGCCTCAGCCTCAGCCTCAGCCTGCCTCAGCTCAGCCTGCCTCAGCCTCAGCCTCAGCCTCAGCCTGCCTCAGCCTCAGCCTCAGCCTGCTTCAGCCTCAGCCTCAGTCTGCCTCAGCCTCGGCCTCAGCCTCAGCCTGCCTCAGCCTCAGCCTGCATCAGCCTCAGCCTCAGCTCAGCATCAGTCTGCCTCAGCATCAGCCTCAGCCTGCCTCAGCCTCAGCCTGCCTCAGCCTCAGCCTCAGCCTGCTTCAGCCTCAGCCTCAGTCTGCCTTCAGCCTCGGCCTCAGCCTCAGCCTGCCTCAGCCTCAGCCTGCATCAGCCTCAGCCTCAGCCTCAGCCTGCCTCAGCATCAGCCTGCCTCAGCCTCAGCCTCAGCCTGCCTCAGCCTCAGCCTCAGCCTGCTTCAGCCTCAGCCTCAGTCTGCCTTCAGCCTCGGCCTCAGCCTCAGCCTGCCTCAGCCTCAGCCTGCCTCAGCCTCAGCATCAGCCTGCCTCAGCATTCAAAATGTGGCCCGGGAATGGAGTTCTGGGAACTCGAAGAACACGAAGTGGCCTACAGTTGGCTCCGGGCATTCAAAATCATGCCCAGGAATGGAGTTCTGGGAACTCGAAGAGCACGAAGTGGCCTACAGTTGGCTCCGGGCATCCAAAATGTGGCCCGGGAATGGAGTTCTGGGAACTCGAAGAGCACGAAGTGGCCTACAGTTGGCTCCGGGCATCCAAAATGTGGCCCGGGAATGGAGTTCTGGGAAGTCGAAGAGCACGAAGTGGCTTACAGTTGGCTCCGGGCATTCAACATGTAGCCCGGGAATGGAGTTCTGGGAGGTCGAAGAGCACGAAGTGTGTGACTGTTTGCGGAAAACGAATTCGGACACGAGTTCGGACACAGCTCCCCGGATGCCGCCCCGACCCCCCTGTGGAGTCATCTGCTGCTCTCTTTTGAGCCTACTAGAAACCTATCAGCAAACGCTGTTAGGTAAAAAAGCGTGTGCGTGTGCGTGTTCGTGTGCGCGTGTTTTCGCGCTTGTTTGTATGTCCGCTTCGAGCCGCCACGGCCCACGTTCTGACCGCCGTCCCGTCCCGGCCCTCGGGAGCCGGGTGCGCCCGCGGGGCGGCGGCGTGGATGGCCGCGCGGCGCGCCGCGGGCGCGCCCCTCGCGCTGGCGGCGGCGCTCTGCTTGGCGGCGGCGTGCCGCTGGCTGGTGCGGCGTGCGCCCGCCAGCTTCGTCGCACCACGCGGCCTCCGCACGGCCAGGGCGCCGCATGCGCTGCGTCGGGCCGCCAAACCTGCTGGCGAGGCCGCCGGCCCTCTTGGAGGAGCTGGTGAGGAAGAGCTGACGCTGGAGGGGTTGGAGGAGGAGATCGAGGAGGAGATGCCGATGCCGCCCGACGAGGTGCTGGACGAGTGGGAGGCGGCGAGCATCCCGGCCCAGATCCTCGAGAACCTGCAAGACCCGGAGCTCGAGGGGCAGAGCGTGATGAAGTTCCGGGACGTCTACCGGCTCCTGGAGATCATGGGCATGGACCGGGAAACGTTCGTCGAGGCGTTCATGGGGGAGGGCAGCGACGAGGAGGAGGAGGGCGAGTTCGACGACTTCGACGAAGACGAGACGCTGAGACGGAGCTCAGCGCCGAAGTTTGACATGGAGGAGTACGACGAACCGCCGCTGCGGGGGCGTGGCGGGCCGCCGAGCCGCGGGAAACCCTCCGAGTGGGAGGACGACTTTGACGACGACGACGACGACTTCGACGAGGGCCAAAGCGGCAGGGGTCCCCCGCAGCGCGGCCGCGGCGGCCCACCGCAGCGGGAATACCAGGAGTCGGGCGGCGGTGGGGGCTACGGCGGCGGCGGGGGCTATGGCGGCGGCGGCAGGGGCTACGGCGGCGGCGGCGGGGGCTACGGCGGCGGTGGCGGGGACGGTTACCGTGGCGGCGGCGGCGGCGGCCGGGGTGGCGGTCGGGGTGGCGGCCGAGGGGGTGGCGGCGGCTACCGAGGTGAGGGCGGCGGCGGCGGTGGTTACCGAAGCGGTGGTGGTGGTGGTGGCGGTGGGGGCGGTTACCGAGGTGAGGGCGGCGGTGGCGGTGGCTACCGAGGCGGAGGCGGTGGTGGCGGTGGCTACCGAGGCGGCGGCGGTGGCGGTGGTTACCGGGGTGGTGGCGGCGGGGGCCGAGGCGGCGGAGGCGGCAGGGGCCCAGCCCCGTGAAGTCGCGCGAGGCCAGAGGCGTCCCCCTGCGTGTCGCTCTGGGCCCAAGGGGGGGGGCGCGCGCCTCCCCGAAGGCGTGCGCCCAGGGCGCGCAGGCCACGGTTTCAAGTGCCTTCGCGGCCACCTGCACTGCGCCCTCCTCCACCCCCCCCTTCTCCGCCTCCTCCTCCTCCTCCTCCTCCTCCTCCTCCTCCTCCTCCTCCTCCTCCTCCTCCTCCTCCTCCTCCTCCTCCTCCTCCTCCCCCCTCCTCGCCTCGGCGGCGCGTGGGTCGGGGGCGGCCTGATCGACCCCCCTGCAGAGCGACACTTCCGCGACGGCCCCCCCTCGCCTCGCTCCAGGACGTGGGCAGGCGGCCAGAGGGGGGCCTCGATTGGGAGGCCGAAAACAGCCCCAAATTGTCCGTTGGTTTTTTCGCGACGCGAGTCTGGGAAGGCCATTCCAGCGAAGGGCCACTCTTATGCGCATCCGATGCCTCGAGGCCGCGCGGCGCCCCGCGGGCTCGAAGAGGCCCGGCAGCGGCGCTGGCCGCCCGCCCGCCGAGCGCCGGGCCGGGTTGCCGTGCACCGCGAGGGGTTGCCACGCAGGCGGTCGGCAGAGGCCCGTTGCGGAAGTCAGGGGCAACGATAGGGTAGGAGGGGGGGGGAGGCCCAGGGGGGTGGGATAGGCACAGGGGGGGAGGATTATCTACAGCTTTCTGGGCTTTTCCTTGGTTCACGGCGGTTTCTCAGCCTCGGGATGCTCTCCAGCAGCTGCGCCGCGTCGAGAGCGTTCCGGGGTTGCTGGAATCGTTTCAAGCGGCCGCTGGAGAGCCGAGTGTTGGCCCGAAAACCAAAAGGCAACGATAGGGGGGAGGCCAGGGGGCGGATGCATCGCCCCCCGATCGGCCATTGATCGCCGATAGGTGCCCGATAGCCCCGCCCTGCCCTGGAACGTGCGGATGTGCTATCGGGGGCATATCGCCGATCTATCGGCCATGAATCGCCGATTCCAGGTCGATGTCCCCCCCTGTTCAAGTCCTCCCCCATTGTTGCCCCTCAGGAAGGGTTCGGTTAGGCCACGTCAGGAAGGGGGGCGGCCTTCTTAAGGAAGGCGCGAGGCTTCGTAGAGGCCTTCCCGCCTCCCGAGGGGCCTTCTCAGAAGCCTCCGGCCCCCTGCACAAACGGCCCGCCTTGCTTAGAAGGTCGCGCCCCCCTCGCCCCAATCCCTTCCTGCGCGCCGCCAGTTATCCTCCTGCTACTCCCGCTGCTTCTGCTGCTCCCAATCCTCCTCCGCCTCCAGCTGATTGGAGTAAGGGCGCGCTCCTCGCCCGAATCCCAATCAAGCCGTATCTTTGCTTCCTCCTCTTACTCCTCGTCGCGCCTGGTGGCCGCCTGTTGGTGGCCGCCTGGTGGTGGCCCACCAGTGGCCGCCCGTTGGTGGCCGGGGCAATGATCTTGCGCCTGTAGGTCAGAAGTTTTGCAAGTTTTGCCCGCGAGCGAATGCCCCGTCGGGTCGGCGTAGCTCCCAGGGGGGGCCAACGGCGGCAGTCGGGAGATCGGAGGGCGCAGGGCCCTTCTGGGCGGGGCTCAGGATAGGCCTGGCCTGGATCCGTGTGGGTGCACACTTGGTTCGGGATGCGTTGACACGACCTGCGACCCCACCTCGGGCGCCGCCAGTGGGTTCGAACCGGCCGACTTCTCACGATCTGCGCTATCGGACAATCGCCGTCGTTCAAGGCTGAACGACCCACGAGGTGTCAGAGGCCAGCGCCCCACGCCATCGCGACGTGAACCGGCCCTTACCTCCCGGCGTCGCGGGCAAAGTCACGACGCCAGGTTTCTCTTCAATTTCGGGCTCTGGGGGCCCCTGCTGGGCCAAAGGATCATGATGAAGCGATCTGCGGCGGGACCACGGCGGGCAACTGGTGCCGGGGATGGTGACGAGAGATCAGGGGGCTCACGTTGTGGAAACGTCATTTCGCTGCACGCCTGGGAGCAAGGAGGAAAGGGTCTCAGGCCTCCCCCAAGGTTCTGGGGCTCCTCAGGGTCCTTTCTCCGAGCCACGCCTGGAGAGGCGTTCTAGAGCCCCGAGGGCCCGAGGGGGTTCGAAGACAATTTTTTTGGGGGGGGAGGCGACACGCAGCATTGGGGTACGGCGAGGGAGGCGGCCTTCTCAGAAGGCGGGGGGGGGTCACATCGGAAAAGGTCGGCCTCCCTAGAATCCTCACGCCTCGCTCGCCTATTGGGCCGGCTCGGGGTGTCAAAGGGGCCTCGTGGGGATTTGTCCCAACCGTCCTGTGTTGGGCACTTGTTTTGAATAGAGCACTGCGGTCGCACACCTTCTTCTCCCGCCTTCCCTCCTTCTCTCATCTTTCTAACTTGCCTGCTACCCTGCCTCCTATCTCATCGTCCTGCCTGGATGCTCGGTGGAGGGGTGCGATCTGCGAAACTGTCGCCACTTTCGAGGGCTGCTGGGGGGTCCAGCGGAGTGAGGCATCACCCAGACTCAGATTAGACCTCGCCATCTTAGGGGGGCCGCGATCTGCGAACCTGTCGCCAATTTCGAGGCCTGCTGGGGAGTTCAGAGGAGTGAGGTACCGCCCAGACTCAGATTAGACCCCGCCATCCATTGGGGGCTGCGATCTGCGAGACTGTCGCCACTTTCGAGGCTTGCTGGGGGGTCCAGCGGACTGAGGCACCACCCAGACTCATATTAGACCTCACCATGCCTGGGGGGCTGTGATCTGCGAACGTGTCGCCACTTTCGAGGGCTGCTGGGGGGTCAGCGGAGTTCAGATTAGACCTCGCCATCTTAGGGGGGCCGCGATCTGCGAACCTGTCGCCACTTTCGAGGCCTGCTGGGGGGTTCAGCGGAGTGAGGCACCACACAGACTCAGATTACACCTCGCCATCTTAGGGAGGCCGCGACACGCGAAATTATCCCCATTTTCGAGGGTTGCTGGCGGGTTCAGCCGGGCGCTGTCGCGAGCAGCCCGCAAACTTGGCAGCGCGCCTTCGAGCGTTTAGCTCCCGCATTGAAAAGTGCAGGAAGGAAACAGGGAAGCTGGCGGGCGAGCTAGTAGGCTTCGCTCGCTTTGCGCACTAGCTATAAGCCAGTTGTATCATTTTGTCGAGCGCCTCGGCGACATGGCGCAGGCGCAGCGCTGCATCTGTAGCGCATTCCCGACAAAAGCAACACTCTTCGGCTACCTCCCGTCACTTTCGTCGTCGTCCTCTGCCCCCTGCCACCTTCCCTGCGCTGCTGCCGCGCTGACGGGTCGGCCCCCCACGCGTCTTTCTCCTGCCCTTCGTTCCCACTCCCATGTCCTCCTCAAGCTTGGGCCCTCGCTCCTCGTCCTTCCGTTGTTGTTCTGTGAATCGTGCCGCGTGAGCGCATCCCATGTAGATTGCACAAAGTATAGCGGCGCCTGCACTGCAATTGTCCTGGCAAGTTTGGGCCAACTCCTCTTGTCACTTGATGCAAATGGGTCGGGTACGTCACAGAGTTTTTCCCCAAACAGCTTGCTGAACGGGGTGCTGTTGTGATAGAAGCTAACTCCGGCCGGTGGAAGTCGGAGCAGAGACATCCTCACAAAAATTTGATGGTCCGGGCCGTTTCGCTTGAGATATCCTCACAACTCTCGTTTCTGAGTTGGCCGGGATTGGCCGTTTCGCCTGAGACATCCTCGAAAAGTTGCGTTCCGGGACGCCGTGCGAGAGGTGGTCCGGGCCGTTTCGCTTGAGACATCTTCGAAACTCTCAGCCCCGAGGTGCCGTGCGAGAGGTCGTCCGGGCCGTTTCGCCTGAGACATCCTCGAAATTCTGAGCTCTGAGATGCCCTGCGCGAGGTGGTCTGGCTCGTCTCGCCTGAGACATCTTCGCAACTCTGAGCTTTGAGATGCCTTGCGCAAGGTGGTCCGGCCTGTTTCGCAGAAGGCATTCTCGCAACTCTGAGCTCCCAGATGCCGCGCAAGAGGTGGTCCAGCATTGGGGCCCAGAAGACCACATGTTACATATCCTCCCTGGGACCCTGGGAGCCCGCCTGAGACATCCTCGAACTCCTGAGCTCTGAGATGCCCTGCGCGAGGTGGTCCGGCCCGTCTCGCCTGAGACATCCTCGCAACTCTGAGCTCTGAGATGCCGTGCGCCAGGTGGTCCGGCCTGTTTCGCAGAAGACATTCTCGCAACTCTGAGCTCCCAGATGCCGCGCAAGAGGTGGTCCAGCCTGGGGGCCCAGAAGACCACATGTTACATATCCTCCCTGGGACCCTGGGAGCCCCAGGAGGCCCCAGAGAGCTCTAGGAGGCCGCAGGACGCCCAGGACAGGCTCCAGGGGTCTCCAGGAGATTCCCAGGAGGCTCCCAGGAGGCCCCCTATCAGAACGTGTCAAGTTTAATACACATCCGGTGTCAATTCGTTGATTTCTCCTGCTCTTGTGCCCCCCCCCCCCCATTTTGGGGGGCCCCGACGGCCACATGTTAGATATCCCCCCCTGGGAGCCCCAAGAGGCTTCAGGAAGCCCCAGGTGGGGTCCAGGAGGCCACAGGAGGCCCAGGAGGAAGCCCCAGGAGGTCACCAGGAGGTCCCAGGAGGCCCCAGGAGGCCCCCGCAACTCGGAGCTCTGAGACGCCGCGCTCGAGGTGGTCCGGCCCGTTTCGCCTGAGACTTCCTCGCAGCACGTTTCGCCCGAGACATCGTCGCAACTCTGGGGTCCGAGATGCCGCGCGCGAGGTGGTCCAGCCCGTTACGCTGGAGACATCCTCGCAACTCTGGGCTCCGAGATGCCCTGCGCGAGGTGTCATAGTGGCTCTTTCTTTGGAGACGAAAAGGGGCGCGCGCCGAAATCCATTCCAGACGAAATTGAGGTTTTTCTTAGAGTTTCAGTGTGCAGGCGCGCCCTGCCGCGCGGTGGTTCCCAGACGCACCTTAGAGCGTGCTGACGTATAATGCGAGGCATTCACATTGCACGTTGCGCATGCTATCGCGTGCAAATCACGCATGGCTTGAGCTACTTCGCAGACG